CAGCAGCAGCAGAGCTCTCCAGCTTGCTGCTGCTGCATGCCTTAGCTACCAAGAAGAAGCAGAAGCTGTGTGTCCCCCCTAACAACCCCTGTCTCCTCCTGCTGTCTCCTTCTGCTGTCTCCTCCTGCTGTCTCCTCGTGCTGTCTCCTCCTGCTGTCTCCGTCTGCTGTCTCCTCCTGCTGTCTCCTTCTTCTGTCTTCTTATACTGTCTCCTTTTGTTGTCTCCTTTTGTTGTCTCTGGCTGCTGTCTCTGGCTGCTGTCTCCTTTTGCTTTCCCCTTTTGCTGTCTCCTTGTGCTGTCTCCCGCGGCTGTCTCCTGCTGCTGTCGTCTCCTCCTATTCTACTGTCTCCTTTTTCCGTCTGTCTCCTTTTTCTGACTGTCTCCTTTTTCTTTGTGTCTCCTCTTGGTGTCTCCTTTTCCATCTGTCTCCTTTTTCTTTGTGTCTCCTTTTGGTGTCTCCTTCAGGCCCAGCAGCGACTGGAGGCCCTGGAGGGGGACAGACGGCGGCTTGAGGCGGAGCTGGCAGCAGCAGAAGCTGCAGCAGCAGCAGCAGCAGCAGAGCAGCAGCAGCAGCAGGAGCAAGCCCTTTCTGCTGCTGCAGCAAGAGAAGCCCAGCTGATACAGGAGACACAAGAAGAGAGACAGAGAAGAGCAGCAGCAGAGAGACAGCTCGCTGAGGCACAGGGGCGAGCGGAGACACTTCAGGCGGTTCTATCAACTCTAGAGGGGAAGCAGCAGCAGCAGCAACAGCAGCAGCAGCAAGTGCTGAAACAGCTAGCTGAATCACAAGCCCAGCTAGCTGCCCTCAGGGAGCACTCGCAGGCCCTAGAGGCCCTCGTTAAGAAGACGGGGATGCGGGTGCAGGAGCTGGAGGGCCTGCAGCAGCAGCAGCAGCAGCAGCAGCAGCAGCAACAGCAGCAGCAGCAGCAACAGCAGCAAGAGCATGAATCCCTGCGCGAAGAAGCAGAAGCATTGAGGATTCGTTGTGCTGCTGCTGAGCTGCAGGTTGAGCTGCAAGAGAAAGAGAGACAAAAGGAGACACTCATGCTGCAGCAGCTGCTGCAGCAAGCGGAGGAGCGTGCTGCTGCACTGCAGCAGGCCCTTTTAAACCGCCGTCTCAGCAGCAGCAACAGCAACAGCAGCAGCAGCAGCAGCAGCAGCAGCAGCGGCAGCAGCAGCAGGTCTCCTCTGGGGTCTCCTCCAGGAGGAGACAGCCCCGGCAGCACGAGGAGACGAAGAGACAGTCTCCAAAGGGCCCTCCAGTCAGCTGACGCGGCTCTGGCGAAGGCTGTGGTGTACGTACACCGCAGCAAGCTCAACAGCGACAGAGACAAGAAGGGAGTGGCAGCTGCAGCAGCAAAAGAGGGGCCTGAAGCAGCAGCGGAAGGGGCCCCCACCAGCGCACCCTGTGGGGAAGGGGGGCCCCCAAAAGCGCCAGCGTGTAAGAGCTTTGCGCCGCCCCAAAGCCCCACGCTGCTGCTGCTGCTGCTGCTGCTGCTGCTGCTTATGCTGTTGCTGATGCTGCTGCTGATGCTGCTGCTGCCGCTGCTGATGGTGATGCTACTGCTGCTGTTGATGCTGTTGTTGTAAAGCAGAACAGCAGCAACAACAGCAACAGCAGCAGCAACAACAGCAACACGAACAGTCACCGCTGCAGCAGCAGCAACAGCATCAGCAGCAGCAGTATTTCTCCTTGTGCAGCTGTTTGTGCTGATGTTTGCAGCAGACTCTGCGGCCTCGAAAGGACCCACTGAGGCTGGAAAGAGCGGCAAAGGGGGGCCCCCAAGGCCCCCCAGGGGGCCCCCCGAGGGGCCCCCGGGGCCCCCCAAGCCCCCTGTAGCGGCTGCCTCAACACAGACACCGCAGCAACTCAAGCATCAGGGGGCCCCCGACACAGGCAGCAGCTGCGCAGTACCCCAGGGGCCACCGAAGGGGGGCCCCCCAGGTTACAGCAAGGGGCCCCCGTCAGATAAACCCCCAGGAGAACCGCCACAGGGGCCCCCAAAGAGGCCCCCAACAGAACACCCAGAAGGGCCCCCAGAGAATATTAGAACAGGGGGCCCCCCAAAGGGCTCCGAGGGGCCCCCCGGGGGGCCCCCAGCAAATGGTTCAGAGAGCCCTGCAGCGATTCCCGTGGGGGGTTCAGTGGGCCCCCCTCCTAATAAGCCCATGGAGGGGCCCCAGGGCCCCCCCAAGAGGGTACCCGAGGGGCCCCCAGCAAAGGGACTGGCGGGGCCCCCCAAGATTCCTCCAGCGGGGGTGACGGGGAAACCCTCAGGGGGGCCCCCCCCTAAACCCCCCGAGGGTGTAGCAGCAAAGCAAAGCCAAGGGCCCCCAAAGAAACTCCCTGAAGGGCCCCCGCCCAAACGCTTGGGGGGGCCCCCAGCGAAGTCAGCAGAGACAGACCAATCAAAGCAGCCAGAGGGGCCCCCAAAGAAGGCACTTGAGGGGCCCCCAAAGGAGACACTTGTGGGGCCCCCAAAGGAGACACCTGAGGGGCCCCCAAAGAAGGCCCTCGAGGGGCCCAAACCCGCAGAAGGGCCCCCAAAGAAAACACCAGAGGGGCCCCCGACAACCCTACCCAAGCAAACCACAAAAATGAAGTCCGAGGGGCCCCCAAAGAAACCACCAGAGGGGCCCCCAAAGAAGTCATCAGAGGGGCCCCCAAAGAACTCATCAGAGGGGCCCGCAGCGAAGCCATCAGAGGGGCCCCCAAAGGGTTCACTAGGGGGGCCCCCGAGTAAGCCGCCAGCGGGGCCCCCAAAGAATTCATCAGAGGGGCCCCCAGAGAAGTCATCAGAGGGGCCCCCAAAGAAAACACCAGAGGGGCCCCCAAAGGGTTCACTAGGGGGGCCCCCAAAGAAGTCATCAGAGGGACCCCCAGCGAAGTCATCAGAGGGGCCCCCAGCGAAGTCATCAGAGGGGCCCCCAAAGAAGTCATTAGAGGGGCCCCCAGAAGTACCATCAACAAAGGGGCCCCCAAGAAACTCCCCAGATATACCCACAGCAGAGGAGTCGAAGGGGCCCCCAAAGAAGGTGTCAGAGGGCCCCCCAAAGAAGCTACCAGGGGGCCCCCCGGGAGGACCTAGTTCGGGCCCCCCAGAAATGAAAGACGGGGGCCCCCAAGGGCCCCCCAAAGGGGGCCCACAAGGGCCCCCCAAAGGGGG